TTGGGTCTGTAACCTTTAACTGGGCAAAATGGTATATTGTAGGGTGACAATTTTTTAGGCAAGTTACCTCAAATGGGCTAACTTATGGAGTGCATCCAAAATCTAGACCCACGACTCAAAGGGAATTGAAATTTGGCAAATGTTATAAAACATTTTGATATAAAGGTTATCATAAAACACTTATGGCATTCAAAATGTCTGTACATTTTGATGTTTCACTGTGCTGTACAGTTCATCACGGGCTACTTTCAAGGCAGATAATCTCTCTGAATTTTAAAAAAACTTTTGCAGAAGATTAGAAGCTTTGCCATCATTGAAAACATTGAAGAATCTGGTAAGGCTATATCTCTAAAACAATGAGCCAACGGGTCACGATTCTTGTGTGTGTGTTTGTTTGTAATTAAAAGTTTTAATTACATACATGAACTAATTCAGAAGGAACAAAGAAAGAGAAAGGAAGGGGGGGGGGAACAAAAGTGCAGAAAGAAAGGATAAAAGGAAATAAAAAGCAGCTTTCAATTTCCTTTGCAGTGAATACAAGTATGGTATGATTGCAAAGCTGTCACTCACTCCATGATTACAAGCTCATTTTTTCCCCTAATATCCATTTTTCTTCCTAATCATCAGAACCACACATCATACATGCATTTTTCTCTGTTTCATGCAAAAAGTCTGCAAGGAGTTTCCAGTCAGTCATAAATATAGATATTTTCTTATTTATTTCTAATCCAAGAAAAATAAAGCTTCCAAAATTTACCCCCAACTTTGAAATCCCAGCAAGAGTAACAAATGAAATTTTTTTGCTTCTTTGTTTGTTTCTGGCTTTCTGTATCCCCTTTCCTTCCCCAAATACTTACAGCGTTATGCAACAAATAGGCAGTATCTTCCACATTGAGCACCATTTTCAGAAAGTACAGTTTGAAGTTAATCACAAACGAATCCCACGAGAAAAATAAATATCGACTTTTGCTTGGGATCTGGGGAGCAACTGGTTTTTATAGCTAAGCCACTGCCCTGCTTAAGCCCTGAGACTCCCAGCGAGGAAAGTATTGTGCGACATCCTCCTTAAGTCAGATTTAAAGTAGGCTTAACAGCAGGAATCTGGGTTCTGCCATCCAGCAAACATTGTGTGCACGTGCGTGTTGCAAAGGACGATAATTATTGTCCAGACAAGCCCCTGTCTTACAAGTACAGCAGTGCGCTTTGTGTATCTTAAATGTCTGTAGTGTTTTTCATTTTATTAGGATTTTAAAAATATTTTTAGAAAGATTGTTTTATACTTGTTGTTTTACTGATCGTTGTACGCTGCCAGAATCGCTTCTTGTGAGATGGGAGGCCATATAAACGTGTTAAATAAATAAGTAAAGAAATCAAATTTATGCTAAAGACACATAACTAAGCTTGAACAGAATAACAAAGCACCTCCTGTACAAATGCAACGGTAAAACGTTAAACAACTTCACGCTCCCCTTTGCTTCCTCAGGAAAAGGACACCAATAGAAGAATACCTATACCAGGGGTAGGCAACCTTGGCTCTTTTATGACTCATGGACTTCAACTCCCAGAATTCCTGAGCCAGCCATGCTGAGGGGAAAGGGAGAGGTTTCCAAGCTGAGCCATACTGGCTCAGGAATTCTGGGAGTTGAAGTCCACGAGTCATAAAAGAGCCAAGGTTGCCTACCCCTGGGCTAGAATAACAGGGTTGGATAGAGGATAGAGTTTTTCATGGAAGAAGTCCTTAGAAGTGCCTGAGATCTTTTTGAATAGATATTTCAATTTCAATTCAGACTAGAGCTGGAAGGGACTGTGGAGGTCTTCTAGTCCAACCTCTGCTTGAGCAGGAGACTCTATGCCACCCCAGACAAATGGCTGTCTGGTCTCTCCTTGAAAGCCTCCAGTGAATGAGCACCCACAACTTCTGGAGGCAAGCCGTTCCACTGGTTAATTGCTCTCACTATCACAAAATTTCTCCTTAGTTCTAGGTTGCTTCTCTCTTTAAAGAGCTTCCACCCATTACTTCTTGTCCTGCCCTCGGGTGCTTTGAGAATACGTCCACCCCGAGTTCAACCCTGAGTTACAAATATTCTCTTCTATCAATAGGTAAATTTTCATGTCTTATTTTTAACCTACTCCTTCATGGTTCATCTGAGGGTGGGAGTGGTTCTCCAGGAAGTGCAGAGAAATCTAAGTTTACTCTGCCATCAGCTCAGCAATGAGTAGTTTACGTACCTAATACAGGCATGAAATTAAGTCAATATACATAGGAAATTTGGCCTTTGGACAAAGCGATTAAAGGCCTGGAGATTAAAACATATGAGCAACGGTTACAGAAATTGGATATGGCAAGTCTAGAGAAAAGAAGGACTAGGGGTGACATAATAGCGGTATTCCAGTATTTGAGGGGCTGCCACAAAGAAGGGGGGGGGGGTCAACTTATTCTCCAAAGCGCCTGAAGGCAGGACAAGAAGCAATGGATGGAAACTAATCAAGGAGAGAAGCAACCTATAACTAAGGAGAAATTTCCTGACAGTGAGAACAATTAACCAGTGGAACAGCTTGCCTTCAGAAGTTGTGGGCGCTCCAACACTGGAGGTTTTTAAGAAGAGACTGGATAGTCACTTGTCTGAAATGGTAGAGGGTTTCCTTCTTGAGCAGGGGGTTGGACTAGATGACCTCCAAGTTCCCTTCCAACTCTAGTCTGAATTGTAATTGAAATTGAAACATCTGTCAAAAGATCTCAGGCACTTCTAAGGACTTCTTCCATGAAAAACTCTATCCTGCAGGAGGATTCAAAGACGCAGAAGGCACGCTGGAAAAATCCTAGCTGTCTTGAAGAAACTCAGGAGAGGAAAGGCTTAACTCCCATAAAAGGGATGGTGACTAAGAAGGTCTTTCTCTGTGGTCCCTGATAAAGGACACTCCCTTGAGGGAGGGACTCAGATATAACCTTTCCTTCCAGATTTTAATATCAACAGCCCATTGAAAAATCTGCCTTCCCCAAGCAGGTTATTATCTAC